CAGAAAATCAATAGTAGCACCAAGCAGAGATAAAGTTTGATAGAAGCAAATAATCATCTATTGGCAATCGAAACCCCAAACCCATAATCCACAAGCAATACATAACTGTTCATGCAAAGAATTTTTGAGGTTTGACTTAAAGGCTTTTGAGAATCCTTGTGTTCTTTAAGTCGATCTAAGAGGGTAGGAAATGGTAAAGCTTTTAAGTTTTTAGGGAAATTGCTAGTAACAAAGAAGGAAAAAGAGGTTAAGTCGGTGGTCTAGGTTGCAACTAGGTTTCGATTGGTGAAAGGTGAAGGAAAGAGGCTGACTCTGGCAAATGGCTAAGGCTGGTGATCAATAAATATGCAAGAGGTGGTTTCTTAATTGGAAATTGGAAACAAATATGGTAATGTCAAGAGAAAGGAAGAGACGAAAATTAAAAAAATTAATTTTTTTGGCTTTTCTGTTAGTTGGAAATGGTGACATTTTGAATGACGAAAGCTGGAGGTTTGTGACCTGAGTAGAAGAGATCTACGCAATGTACCAAGCCTAACCCAATTGATTTGGTAAATTTTGGTTTTTGCAATTTTTATTTTCTTTTCATTATTTTTTTGTTTTCTATTTTATTCATTTATTTAGGTCATCTATATTTTGATTTTTTTTTTACTTTTTTCTTTTAATTGATTAAAATAATAACGAAAAAACCTTTGATTGAATTTTTTGTTATTTATTTGCATGAATTTGTGTGATTATTTAATATTTTATTTATATTATGTTTGCATGATGAATTATTGCATGATAATTAATATATTTGCATGTGATTATATTTGATTGCATGGTAATTAATATATTTGCATGATATTATATTTTGTTGCAAGATATTTTTGCATGATAATTATTGTATGATATTTTATATTATTGCATGATACTTTTACATGATAATTTTTTGCATGATATTTAATGATGTTGATATTTCCATGATTTATTGCATGATGATTGTTATTACTGCATGATAATTAATATATTTGCATGAGAACTTATATTATTGCATGATTATTTATTTATAACATGATTTATTGCATGGTATGATTTTTATATTGGCATGATATTTCTAATTATTGCATTAATGCATAACTACATGATTTGATTTTGATAAAAATTTTGTATAACCATGTTGTGTAAATAAATAAGAGGACTGGAATTGATAATTTGCATGATAAAACCATCTTTGATAAGGCTTGTGGTAAAATAATACATAATTAATTCAGTACCAATTTTTGGCGTAATGGGGTGTTAATACCTTTCCTGAACGTAACTGACTTCCAAACCTTAGTTCTGTTGATGTAGACCAAAACTTTTTCTTTTTCGGGTCACCTAGCTTAGGCTTAGGATAACCTTAAAAAGGATAGATTCACACAAGTGGCCAATTACACCTAGATAAAAAAGATTAGTGGCGACTCTAGTTTTTATGTCTAATGAGTAGGTTCTCCCAACCTAAAGGTTATGACAATCATTATAGCTGGGAATCCCTTAGCTACTGACCCTATTTTCCATCATCAACCCGACCAAAAACCACCTAAGATCTACTTTCTTTTTTCTACAAGCTAAATTACCCCAAATATCTAGAAATTCCAAAAGAAAGCCCAAGAATAAAAGCCCTCAAAGGAACCAAATACCTAGAAATTCCATAAGAAAACCTAAGAATCAAAGCCCTCAAAGTTCCTTTTTTTATATTTTCACTATTGTGAAATTACTTCTAATTATGTTAATTACTTGATTTTGTTGTCTTTGTTGGGTGTATTTGCTTTAAGTTCTGATTTGATTGTATACAGGTTTTGGGTTTATTTTTGTGTTGTGAAAACTGAGTCGATTGAGCTTGAGCTTACTATGTGTTAGTTTAATAGTTTTGAATTTTCCTTCGTTTCCTGGGTTTTGGGTGATTTCGAGTTCTAATAGGTATGGATTTTTTTTTTTATTTAGGTAATTGATTTTATGTATTGTTTGAGCTATGATGGATAGTTAGAGAGTTTAGAACTCTCTAGAACATTTTAATATAAGCCTTTTTTTCTTAAATTACCCTTCAAATTATTTTTAAGGACAAAAATGATGTGGCCACCAAATTATTAAGTTAAGGAGTAGGGGCCAGTTTTAATTGTTTGTTATAGATGTGTTAATCAAACAAATTTGTAAATTTTAATTTCTTATATAATTATATTTCTTTATTTGAATTTTTGTAGATTAATAAACTTTAGTTGCAACTAAAAAAATTTTCATTAATGATGGAATTCTAAGGAAGTTACGAGAGAAAACGTTTTTTTAAATTCGATCAAGATATTGAAAAATTTAGAAATTGGACTTAATATAAAAATTTCTATTTAATTCTAATTTGAGATACAAATTAAATTGAAAATTTTGTGATTTCTATCATGATTAATTATTTGTGATTATATGTTTATATTTTATCATGTATATATAATTAATTTTCTTTCATAAAATACTTAATAAATTTGATGATGGAGTTTTTGGCATATTACTTAAATACTTTTGAGATGAGAGATATTTTTAGAGGTTCAGCCAAAATATTAGAGAAAACTTAAAAATATTTCAAATATTTAAATAATAAATTAATAAAAATAAATTAGGAATAAAATAGAGACCATTTTAATAAAAGTTTGAATAAAATAATTTAAAATTAATTGATACCATTTTAAGATGGATATTGTAAGGGTGTTCTATCCCTCCCTACACTAATGAATTCCTAAATTCAGTTTTATTTAGAAGATCAAAACTTATTCTTTTTAGAGATTTTTAGTTAAACTTTAAATTTTCTCATAAAGATAGATTCACTTAGTTTGTCAATCACATTTAAATAAAAAAAATTAATGACAATTCAATGTGTTGTATCTAATGGATTAGTTTTCAAACTTACAAAATATCAATGACATTAAAATAAAATTTAATAATATTGAAAAACAGTCACAAAATTCAATGTTGACATAATGTAATATAATTATAAGGACAAAATCTACTTTTTATCTTTGGTTGTACGATTGAATAATACTGGGGAAGAGGGAGAGAAATTTGAGAACAAAAAATTGTGGAAAATGTTGGGATTCAATTTTGACTTGCACCACCAAGAAATCAAACTCAATGCGCTAATCATAAAATTCAGTCAACAAAGGAGGATGGGTGTACAATCCTGCTGGCTTTACAAGCAGCCTTTTTTGTGGAAGCTCTTTGGCTGAAAGCTTAGACGAGTGACCGTCACCTTTTTCTCCAATCATGCACCATAACAAATTCCACATCTGCAAATATATAAAATGCAAAATCAAAGCAATCAGATTGAAGGAAGGCCAATAAGAAATATTTCTTATAGATATATATAATTCTGTTCATCAAAATTTACACAAAAAAAAAAAAGCGTACAAGCTAGAAAATGTGTTCCTAACCTTCCCATCTGCATATCTGCAGCTGAGATCAGACGATACGATTGTTCATTCGTTTTATTTTCGATACACTTGAGAGGATTATTAAGAAGGAAAAAGGGAGCAAAATTTTCTATCTTAGGCTATGGACTAAAAATTCACAAGCCTCGAACAAACTCACCATCAAGTCTTGAAATTGCATCAGCTATTCTTTTTTTGGCATTTGGTTCATCCTAAATTTGCTGCCAAAACCACTTCTTGGATTAAATTAACAGATATAAGAACTCATATGTGTAATTTAATATCTATAAAATGTTATAGAGATTGAGAGAGAGAGACAGAAGCCATTAACAGGGGCTTTGTAGGGGAGCTGATAGAAGGTGGAGGTGGAAGTAGCAGCCTACATCGGCACTTCTGGACAACAAGTCCAGTGAGTTTTTCAGGCCAAGAAGGCAGTGCCATTTAGTTTCTACTACAAGTATTTTGTAGCATAATTCTTCAAAGCGGATACCACTCTGTTGAGTTCATGGCCGTAGGCCAAATAAACGTGTCAAATTGCACCATTTCGATTGAGAAATTCCATCTTTTTCAGAAAGTTGTGGGTAAAACTGAATGAAGCATGTGATAGCATGAGTCTATTGGTAACGCCCCGACAGTGATAGGCTAGCCCCCATTATTTCTTTCAAGTTTTTCCAAATATTGATTAATCTGTGAACATTTTGTTGATATATATGGAATTTATGTACCATTCATCCTTTATTCTGTTGGTTTTACCAATTTCTATGAGAGTAAAGACATAGCAGCCCCTTGCATCATTCATCAGACTTTCAGAGATTATCTGCTTTGAAACCAATATATTTTTGCCATACATCTTTCACTTTTAAATACGGCATGTAAATCTTTTATCTCTCTCACACATTTTGTCCTTTTGTCTCCCTCTCATCCCTTTTTCTGGATTTTTTTTTCTTTCTTTTAAAAGTGGGGGAGAGGATTTTATCCCAAAATTCAGTGCCACAATCAATTTTTTTTATTAAGCAACAAAGGTTTCTGAGCTTTGCTCCGTATTTTCCTTGGGGTCAGTTCAATCAGATTTATCTATGTTGACTTAATTAATTTATAGTATAAATTATCTTACCACATCAACTAAAATTAATGCATCAGGCAAAACGCTAAATTGGCTTATACCAAATTAATCATAATTTGATAACTTATCAGGTCAAATAAAAGTGATAAATTGGATTTCCAAATTGATTCTTAATTAGTCAAAATAACAAAGTTATGGTTGGAAAATAAAAAAATTATGGTTGGAATGAGAAGATTTTTATCGTGCTTCGGATATGAATTCATTTATAGTTTCAAATCATGCAAGTCTTTTAGAGCAAATAAAAATAGAATGAATTTCAAAATAGAGGTGTTATATATTTTGAGTTGATCAGACGTACAGTTAAGTCCCACAGGCACAGGGAGAGAATAAAATTTGCATGTTAGAATAACACACACCATGCATGTAACTACACTCACACTCAAGCGATGCATTTACGTCTTAAATAGTTACTTGGTGAACCCTAGTTTCTGCACAAAGGAACTTAAACCATGGCAGATTTGCACACTTTTTCTCACATTGCCTTCACACCCATTTTTATGCTGCTGCTCTTCGTTGCCACTCTCCTCACTGCCCTTTCGCAGGACCCTATCACCCCTGGTCCAATCATAGCTGACTGCAGTCCACGCCTGGTGGCACTGATTCCATGTGCACCATTTGTGCAGGGCACAGCTCAGATACCGCCACAGTCCTGCTGTGACAACCTCAATCAGCTCTACAGCCAGCAACCTGGTTGTCTTTGTCTCTTGTTCAATGACACCAACTTGAGTGCTTTTCCTATTAACAGGACACTTGCTCTGCAGTTACCTATTCTTTGCAGGGTCCAAGCTAACACTTCTGCTTGCTCAGGTACCATTCAGATTTTCTGAAATTAACTGCCTTATATTTATACCGGTCTTATAGATATTTGATTAATTGATAAAATCGCATTCTTTTCTTTAAGGGGTGCCTTCACCTCCTGGTTCTCAGGTTTCTCTTGGGGAAAATCACAACTCTTCTGTTGCTGGTAATCAAATTATTTTAAAGGCATTTCTTTTGTGACCTTTGTAAGACCAGAGATTGATTAAATTTGCTATTAAATCATCACATTTAAGTTTTATTTTTGCTCTGTTTTCCCCAGCTTCTTCCCCCATGGTGAACCCAATTGTTCCAGTGGCACCAAAACCAACCATCATGGGGTTGGGGTTTGGCCGGAGCAATGCTGGAAGATTGAAGACACAAGGTCTCTTACCAATGGTGACTGTTGTAGTTCTGTTTTCAAGACTGGCACTGCAATATTGAGTCTGGTTAACAAAATGTTATACCTTAGGAATGTTTATGGTTTTGGTATGTTGCTTGTTAATGTTATTTGATGTTGAAGACATTTGGATCGGTTATACTCTGATTTAGGTTCACCCTTGATTTGCTTTTATTGAATATTAATACCTTGTTGAAACAATATTTATATGCAATTTGTTTGTTTTTATTGAATATTAATTCCTTATTGAAACAATATTTATCTATTATGCAATAGATTCTTTATAATTGTTTCTTTATAATTGTTAATGTTTGTTTGATCCCAGCACAGCAGAACTATTGTAAAGGCTTAATTTTTTTTATAACGGAAACCGTAATTTAAGAATAAAGATTGTAAGTGTTAAAATTTAAATTTTAAATTTGTTGAATGTTATTTTTTTTAAAATAATTATATGAACTAATTAAATTAAATTTTGATTTCTAAGTAGCTTAATCTTTAATATAATTAATTAAACCAAGATCTTCCAAAAATAAATTGAAGGCTGAATTCAACTGCGATGCCCTGTCCAGCTTTTGACATGCCATTCTCTACAGTGTCGTTGAGGAAATAAAAAATGAAAGAAAAAGTGGCATCTATATTTAAAGGGGAATGTGCACATAATTCTACGATCATAATTTCCAAATAGCAAGCAGCTCTTGTGAATCTTAGCAGTTTTATCTACATCGCACCGCATCAAAATCCTTTATCGAATTATTAACAGCAATGCCTAGTAGCAACTTCTTATATAATGAAAATTATAGATGATTGAACTCGGAACTCAGCTATGTAAAATGATTGAACTTCAATAAGTTGACACAACTACCCTTTCTAGAGACATCTAAGGAATTTGAAATTCAAATTTCTGTACTAACAACCCGTTTCACTATATCCAAACTACAACCTTCTTTATACCGAACATTTTCATTTGAAATTTGATCCCAAACTTTCAATGTTCATTAAAAAAAAAAGAAAGGTTTACCATCCCCCAAGCAAGCCAGTATATTACCATTAAAAGGATATGTCACTCAACCAAATTCTTAAGACCTAGGTAAGAATAATTATTTCAGAAAAAGCGAGACCGTGCCCTTTAATGTTTGCCAACTATCAGATAATTTTAACATCATCTCAAAATCATTAAGATACAATATTTGCAAGCATATATTAGGTTACAAATCAAGGACAAAGCCCTAATTTTAAGTGATTTGTTTATCAACCAAGATAGAAAGACCTCTTGTGTTCATTCTACAGCAACTACTCCAAACTGGGTGCAACTTCAGTAGGGTTTGATTCAAATACATCTGAATTAGAGGCCTCGGGTTCTTCTAAAAGCTCTCGAGATTGGATAGACTCTTTGTAAGCAGGAGTCTCCTTAAAATCCGTTGCCCCTTCGTTGTAAGTAGCCACAGCAATCCCACATGCAATTAACTGATAAAATAGAATGCAAGACCTCTTAATGAAGAATCATCAAATAGTGCCTTTTCAAAGAAATTTTGTTTAAAAAGCAAAGAACAAGCAGAATATTTTACATGTACCAACAGGCTAGAACTTTCAGCATTGTTATCAAAATTGGATTCTTTTTGTCAATCCTCAAATAATATGAAGGCTTTTCAGCAATCACAAGCTAACAAGCATGGAAATAGATATAGGGGGCTTCTAAATATACATAACTGGTAAAAACCTTTAGCAGAAATTTTCTCCACCTAATTGTCTAGAATTTAATGGTTTCAGGCCACCTAACTTCTCAAACCATCTTTCGGGTAATCCAGGAAAGAATCTACAAAGTCTACATCATAATGAATGAATGGTTGTGTTAAGAAAAGAGAAGGCTTTGTAAGGTTAGAAAGTTGTCATATAATTGAACTTTCAATCTTCAGCAGTTTTGGTCATGAAGATCAGATCCCAATTGTGTCAAGGACTTTCAATGACACCAATATTTCCTATAGCATGTCCCAAAGAAATTAAACATAAGAAACTATGAGGACTACCAATTACCATTCTACTAAAGGATGCAACATTCTGCAAAATTTCCATGCTAGGCAGATAGGGACAGGGGCATTTCTTTCCTTTGTGGTGTATATGCTAATGTAAAATTAAAAACCATAATCATAGTTTGAATTCCATGGTTCACAAAACTTAGAAACCACACCTTCACTTGCGATAGGCACAAAATATAGGCTCTCAAGCTCAGGTGCTCTGTGCTCTCCACACAAAAATTGTTCTAGCTATCTTGTTGCAGCTGGCTGCTGCCAAATTCAGACAGTAACTTCAAAATTTTTCATATTGGTCTCTCAAAGTTCACCAAATTCTATGGGTGCCTATTTGGTGTTTACCTATAATTTTTCTTCATACCCTTATTCCCCTCCTACAGGTGTGTACTTTGATTGTATGAGGGAGTAATTTACAAAGAGAAATGATTTTATGAAATGGTTACTCCACACTAGCATATATTATTCAAACATACCACATAAGCATGTTCTTGAAAAAAATTTAACTATTTATTACAAAAATCATTTACTATTCTGTTCAAATAAATACTTACCATCTAATAGTATGTAATTTGTAATAATTAGAATGCGCTTGCAGAACATGATTTGAATAAAAGTGAGATTCGCTCGAATTAACAGTTTTAAAAAAACCTTTTTCCTCTATGAAAATCAAACAACTCACTATGAACAAAGCTTTGTCACTCTTTCACTTTGTCAAACAAACTGTAATCCACCAAAGAGCAATTAATTCCAAGACAAGCAGAATTTCTTTTTGGCACATCTCTCAGCTCATAAAATCTTCAAGATTTGAATTTCGAACCTAAAATCTCCAAGCCCCAAGTCAAGTCCCAAGTATTTAGATGTCATCTTGAATACAATACAGGCAGAAATTTTCCAATACCATTACCATCTTCTTAAAGTTGTCATTTTTATTGCAACCAACCAGTTCTAATCACTAATACTCTTCAAATATGAAATGAAATATGAATCATTTCAGGCATGATCATAACAACATCGAACAATAAAAAAAGCTAAAAAGGCACTGATGAGAGCATTGAGAGATACCGCGAAAACGATGCCCAAAGCCCACAAATACTGAACAAGGAAACCAAGAACATCCCACTGAGGACCTTCCCACAAATCTGGTTGAAGACCTGGAAGTTCCGGAAATGGTTTCCCATCAGCCGAAACCTCAGATGAACTCCCACCAAGGTTATCTAAGCCAACCCCGACAACATTATTTTCTTCTTCAATCTCCGCCGTCCGTTGTTGCTTTTGTTCCTCATATTGTTCTTTCGTCGTGAGAGTGCTCCTCCGGTTCTTGCTGTCGAGGCGTCCAGTTCGGGAGGAGAACTTTTTGGCTGCGGAGGTTAAGTGGAGGGTTCTGGGGGAGATGGGGAAGAGTTGGTGGCAGCGAGGAGGGAGGGTGGTGTAGAATTGTTTGGTTGGGTTTTCGCAGAGGATTCGGACTCCATAACCACTATTGCTACTACCGTTGCTGATGCCAATACTGGTCAGCGCCATTTGAGTGGAGCAGGACGGAGAGTAGGATAAGACTGTTAATACCAAATATTTTATTTACATCTTCATTATTATTTTACTTTTGCATGGGTCTAATTCAATCGATGGGCTACGGGCTACTCTCAAGCCCAAGTTCTTGTATCCTAAAATTAAAATCATCTTTAGAAAACCCAAAACGGAGTATCTTAGTGAGGATTTACCTTTTAGTTTTTATAAAGAAGTTTGAAACACAAGAACAGAGACGAGATTATATATGCTAAGATGTGAATTTTAGGCTATGTTTGATATGTAAGATTGTTGTAAGAATAGGATGGTAATTATTTAATATTATTTTCTATTTATATTTAAAGAAAATTATAAAATTATAAAAAAATTAATTATTTTTTTAATATAAGATGATTCATTATTTTCAAAGTAAAAATAATTATTTTTAGCATATAAAATTAAAATTACATATTTTATTATATCTTTAAGAATTATATCAATAATGTAAATTATATAAATTTTTATAAAAAATAATTTTAATTAATAAATAAATAAATTTACCTTAATTTTTATATATATAGTATAATATTATTTAATTTAATATTAATCATAATATTATCTTATCATATTTTATTATAATTTTATATATCAAATACAATTATAATATTGTTTTATTATATCTTATGATAATTTTATAAATTAAATATAATTTTAAATTTATTAAATATCATCTTTTAAAATAATTATTCAATAAAGACAACGTGTAAACTTTGATTCAAATAGCAAAAGAGAGCTTAGATGCATACATGTAAAATGCAATTAATGATAAACCGTTTTCAAAATATCAAAAATGTCTCCACCTTTAAATTGCATCTCCTTTTCCTATTAATTGGGTTGATTTAACTCTAAATATATATATATATAAGTAATTCAGAAGTAAAAAAAAAAAGTTCCTAGAATCCAATCCTTTTTTTCAATTTTCTTTCGTTTCATGTTAGTTGAAAATTTGCTGTCCATTTAATTAGACTAATTATAATTAATTACCAAATTAATTACATCTTCTAGTTAAAATGAATATCCAGCAAATTGCTTGAAATTTTGTTAAAGCATAACTGCTGCTATTTGTTGCATTCTCAAATTTTCACATCTTTTTCTTCTCCCCTTTTTTTTTCTTTTTCCTTTACTTCTCATTTTAATAATTACCCTAAATTTACAGCCCTAAAAAAATCTCTACCATTAAAAAACGGTAATATGTCCATGTCAACCATTTGAAACGGCGCCGAAGCGTTTCCATTGTTTCTTTTGTTTATTTCTACAATGCGGATAGCGAATCAGGACGCCACGTCCGCTCCGAAATATCCGCAGCCGGTTCGAACAAGCCTCCGAATGCCACAAAATCACCGCTATCACTATAGTTAATGTTGGCATCCGAATCTCCGCCGAATCTGAACTCGAACGATTCGCAACTCGGAATCGGAAGCTCATCTCCCATCATTTCCACAAATCCAACGGCTCCTGACCCTGCACCTTCCACTACATCAACCGTCCCAAATTTCTGCTCCCCCTCAACGGACCAAAAACTCGGCGGCAAACCCAGTTCATCATCCGACGCCTCTAACAGAAACCCTAGTTCCGGCCGGCACTCACCAGAATCCGATGTCGTTCCCGGTACCGGCGCCTGAGTGGGAACTAGAATCTCTTCTTCGAAGCTTTTCATGACCGAGTCGAGTCCCTGAATCGCTGAGTCGGATCCAATGACAGGGTAGAAATCGTCCAATATGCTGAGCAAATCCACCTCAATACGATTTACCTCCGGCAACTGAACGTCTCCGGCATATGGGTCGGGTTCCGCGTGAGTAGCCGTGGGCGACTGGGAGTCGGGACCCGTATTGGCCGAGTCGACTCGAGCGAGTTTTAAATTCGGGACCGAGTTAGCCTCTGACTCAGAATCCTCAGACTCTTCCCGTGTCCTCTTCTTGTTGCCTTTGTTATCCTCCATTGCCATTAGAAAAGCCTTCAGTTTCAAAAAACAAGAGCCTTTAAAATTGCAAAAACAACCTTAGTGTTCAATGTAGTCAGTTGTTAGATTAAGTAGACAGGCAAAGAGGGGAAAGAAGGATTTTATAAGGGAAGCAAAAGCGTGTCAGAATTAAAGTATTGTGACTTGAGGAAGTGTTCGGCTAGCCAGAAAATAGAATAAGAAAAAGAGAGAAAAAAAGGAGGGAGTGAGGGGCATTCTACGGAGAGAAAGTGAGTGTAGAGAGAGAAAACGGGCTTTGGGTGACTGAGAAAGAGAAATGGAATGGGTATATATAGTAGTTGCAAACATGGGGCAAATAATGATTTTACCTTTTTTAAACATTTAAAAAAAAAAAAAAAAAAAGGAAAACTCAGATCCAAAATTTTTAAATTAACTATTTAATTTGGATAAAGACAGGCGCGTGTGGATCGGACTCAAAAAAAGTCAGTTTCGTTTGATGAGTCATTCACGGGAATCAATGCCTTTTTAATTCGTCTCTTCTTCCCAGGACTCGCATTTTATTTTTTTGGCGTATTTGCTTTTCTGTCAAATTAACTAAATTTAAATATAGGAGTTTGAAGTCCGTTGCGTAGGGAGAGGGTGAATCCAGTGGGTGGACTCGGCTTCTTAAGATCCCACACAAGTCCAAGTTTCCAACCAAATCTAGCAATTTTTATACTATTATTATTATATTACCAGGCATTCAATGTTTTAATAAGTGGTTGCCATTTTTTTCTCTATTTTACCAATTTTATCTTTTTTTTTAGGTGAGGTCTTCTTTTAACTTTTTTTCCAACATATAAAAGATTTAGGCATTTTATTGAGATTAATTAATCTTCTTTTTATGAAAATTGACATTAATATTTTCAAAATAATAATAAATTCAACATACGAGATCTTGCGTTAATGGAAAATCAAGGATCTCAAAAAATTATATTTCAAATTCAATCTAATTTTTTCTTGATTTTCTCTAACTATATGTTTAATTTCTCTATTTATATATTAATTGGTTGATTAATTAATTTGTTTATAAAGGTTTTTTTATTATAATTGCAATTTTTGGGGTTAAGATCAAATTTTTACCATATTAAACGTTATATCAATTTGATTTTGTACATAAATTTCGATTAACGTACATGATTTTAATTTATTCAAAACTAAAATAAATTAGAATTTCATAAATTTGATCTGTTTGATTTATCAATTTTTAAAATTTCGAAAATTCAATGGGAATTGAGTAATGTCAGTTTTTCAACATATATATGGAAAACCAAGTCGAGTTGAGAATATCTCTAGTTCGGACCAAAACAAAATTAAATACAACAAAAACCTAATCAAACATTGTGAGTCGAATCAATTTATATCTTGATTTAATATTGATTTTTATCATTATATTTTAATATTAAATATAATTTTTGAATTAATTAGCATGTTATTAAAATTATAATTTAAAAATTATAGATTAAAAAAATTATATGCACTTAACTATTTTTCAATCAAATAAATCGTAAGGTTAAATTAAAAACTTTAAAAAAACATATTTTCATTATATTTTTAATTTTATTAACTTTTTATTAAAAAATACCGTATTCAAAACATATTAACGAAATATTTAATTAATCTCAATGGTAAATTATCCCCAATTTTTTTTTTGTCAAATATGCATAGAATCAAAAGTATAATAATAAAATCCAATAACGAGAAAAAACTCATAGTTACAATTCAATATTATTCTTAATAGCAAATTTGACCTTAATTATATTTTTTACATTTTAAAAATATATTATAATTAGATATGTAAATGATACATTAGTACTCATAAGTTATTTGGGTTTGATTTGAATAAAACTAGAATTCGATTTGGTTATTATTAAGTCGAACTTGAGTTCAAATAGATTAACTTATCGATCAAGTCGAATTTAAGTATCTTAATATCTTATTCGAATGACTTACGAGCCTGATCGAGTTTTTTTTATTTAAATATATATTTTTATTATTTTAATTAAAATTTACAGTTTCACCCTTATATATATATATATATAACCCTAAACTCATTTGCTTTTCCTTTTCTCACTCCCATTCATCGACGCCTCTCTTTTCTCTTTTCTTATCTCATCCTAGGAGCCACCCTATTCCTTTCTAGCACTCTTCCTTCATGCCTCATTTCAACATAGCTGTATGCAAATTTGATAGGTTGTATCCACATGCCTACCCCTACCTTCGATCACCATCAGTTTATAATCGAATTCAAGTAAAAAAAATTTTCTTTCCTAATTTTGGTGTCTGTATTTTTATCTGATTTGTTCCATTTATGGTCCCTTTGCTCTTTCAATAGATCTATTTTTGCTGAGTATGTTCAATCCATTGGTTTATTCATATGCTTTAACTCCAACTCTTTAAGGTCAAATCGTCACATTTTCACTCTTTTCTAGGTATTATTTTTTTTAGGTATTCATGCTTTTAACTCCCACTCTTTAAGGTTAAATCATCACATTTTTCACTTTTTTTCAAGGTGTTACTTTTTCTACTTACAAATATATTGTTTTTCAATTCTAATTAGCTAAAAAAGACTTAGGTTTGTGTTAATTTTATATGCAAAGTTGCTGATTTCTTCAAAATTTTGATGTATGCCTCAACCTTTAAACATTATTATTTGTTGTGATAGAGTTAACTTTCAAAGCTTATTTGCTCTATAGGTATGAGGATTGAGTTAAAAAGCTTTAAAAAGGAGAAACTATGTTGTAAATTATGAAGAACACATTTTTATTAGGTAATAAGTTTTATCGAGCGAGCTCGAGCTTTATCTCAAATTGAGCTCTAGCTAGATAAATAGATCTCGATCGAGCTCAAGCCGAGTTTTAAGTTATAATTTTTAAGTTGAGCTCGAGCTCAAGTATTACAATGTATTAATTCGACTCGACTTGATTATGCCCTAATTACAACCCATTTTATCTTCTCTCTAACTAATTTTTTTCTTTTTATATTTAAGATTGTCAAATTTTGAATCATAGTCATTAAAACTTAAAATTATGCTTGGTACTACTATGGCTGTAAATAAACATTTATACTTACAAACTATTCAAGCTCGACTTGAAAAAAATTCGAATTCGATTCGATCGTTATCAAGCAAAGCTCGAGCTCGAGCAACTCGAGTTATCAAATGAGCTAAATTCGTATTCTTTTGTCTGACTCAAGCGATTTACGAGCCTAATCGAGTTTTTTATTTTTTTAATATATATTTATATTTTATTAGTAATTTACTATTTTACCCTTAGTACTTACCCACCTAAAAACCTTAAATTCTTAATCTTCAAAACAACACTCAAAGCATTTTTCTTCTTTTCTTTCCTCTTAATGGTGGCCTTTTTTTCCTCACGTTACCAATTCATCCTTCTACTTTCATCAACAAAATTTTTTTCTTTTTTTGTCAACTACCTATCATTGATGATTACTCCTAGCAACGACATGCCTTCTTTTCATAGTCAACAGCAACAATTGTGAAACTACATAGAACTCAAGTAACAACAAAACTCCTTCAGGTCAAGACTAAGCAAAAGAACAGCAACACCATAACTAGTAATAACAAGTGTAGGAAGCAGCAACCAAGGTATGTATTTCTATTTTCTAGAAAGTGATTTTTTTTATTTCATTTTAAGTTAAACATGTCTATAGTTCATTAATGTTAATTAGGATAGTAGTTTATTTAGATATAATATGAATGGAAGTTTATTACTTTGGGGGCTGTGCTTTAAGCTTCTTTGAAAATCATTTTAAATATTATTTATATATTCAAGTTGAATTGGTCATAATTTGTACGGTATGATTTGGTCTGGCTAGCTAGCAATACAAATCTAAAATTGAATAGAGCCCTAGCTTTCAATCTAAAATCATTCAAAAAATGTTAAATGTAAATACCCTTTCTCCCTATAAATCATAACACACATTTCATTTCTTTTTAGACAAAGAAAATATGCCTAGCTACTTCATTTCATAAATTAGTTAACTTTTTAGGGTATTTGTTTAGTAAAAAAAAATTCAACAATAAATATATAGGTTACTGCAATCTAGAAATTAGGATATAAAATGGATAATTTTTCTTACTTGCCAAAGCTTACAGTCTATATAGTTTGATGAAAAGTCATAATATGAAAGTGACTGATTCTGCCAAAATGATAATTTCTTTGCTAGCCAACAACTTGCAATCTTTTAGTAGTAATGGTTGATTTCCTTTTGTTGTTGCTATGTCCCTACTTTGGCAAGTCATATGGAAGAGATTTTTTAGGCTGCATTCTCATCTCTAAATCAGATCTTTCATTTACTTAGGATAAAGAAATACATTATAGAATATTTGAGCTTATAAGTGAATAAGAAAGAGGCCAGAGACATGCTTTGGCTATTGAGTAGAACCTTAGCTTTTAATGTTAATGTTTCTTTTATTTTTTTATCATTTTCATCAAATTTGATTGAAACATTGATTTTTATTTTTTTAAGTACTAATATAGTTAATATGCATTTATCTTTATTTGCTTATTGAAAATTTAGAATGAAGTTCATTTACTTAAAAAAATTTGTGCTTGAATTGTTTTTAATATTGAATTTTGCAGTTATACTTCTCTAAAAGCAAATGTGGAAACTTCACCAGCTTTGGAGATTTTAGGTGCTTAATAATCTTGCTTTTCTTTATAATTCATCTTTATATAATTTGTTATCTTTTCTCATTGTTTTTTTTTCCACTTTAATGTTATTCGATAATAGAATGGATATTCTATCTGGAATGGCTTCCTTTCAACAATAATAATCAACCTTTACTAAGCTTGAAAGTAATGTTATAGTAGTGTTCTTGTATTTGGTTAATTTGATTAAGAATATTTTTGTTAAGAAAAATTTAAATTTGCTTGTTCGGTAAGGTTTTAATTAATTTATTTATTTTTATGGTTTTTTTTTAAAAAAATATAATTATTTATTAGATTTAATTGATACAAATAGTTGTATGTGAAAAATTTTGAGTTCAAATTCAAACTCGAGCTCGAGTATCAATAATCGAGCTTGAAAGCAAGCATGGAATCAAACTCATTTATTACTGAAAAATAAGTTTAATCAAGTAAACTCGAGTAGCTTGGTTCGATAACGAGTTGAGTTCGAGTTAAAAAAATAAAACTTGATCGAGCTCAAGCCAAGTATTGAGTCATTAGTTTGAAGTTGAGCTCGAGTTGTATCATCTTGGCTCGATTCAATTGCACTTCTCAATTTACAATTGAGAAGTGGAAAAATCGA